TCAAATGATTTTTAAATGATGTTTGGGCTGAGAAACACTGTCTTACTATTACCCGAGTGGCTTATGTGATTTATGACGGAGTAAGGCCGAGGGCCTGTATTGTGAGGATACTTTTGGGTCGGGCTGCACGCCGCAGCGGTGATACACTGATTTTGATTATGAGGACGAGGTCCTGAGATTGTACGCCACGAGGTGGCTTGATATTGATATGAGGTCGAGGACCTGTTTATGATGCCACGAGATGGCTTGATATTGCGCTTGGTCCGTAAGGGGCCCCTCCAGGAGTCTGCACACCCCTAGTGAGCGCGGGTACCCATTGTGATGTGAGATATAGTCCGAGGGGCTGGTATTGTTCTATGTGATTGCCCGAGCGGCTGATATTGTTCTATGTGATTGCCCGAGGGGCTGGTACCGTTCTGAGATATTGCCCGAGGGGCGAATTTGTTGACAAGCCCGAGGGGCGAACCTTATGTGCTTATCTTTCTTATTTGCATGTCATTTGCCTGTTTAATTGTGTATTTGTGCCCGAGGGGCGGATTTCTGTGCTTATCTGCACTAGTTTTTCTGCATTCATTTGCGTAACTGTTGAAAAAGTCTTTTTTTCAAAGAGGTTTAAACTGAGCTAAGATGTTTTAAGGGATTTTACAGCTTCATTGCTTTCTACTGGGATTTCTTTGCCCTTATACNGCTTCATTGCTTTCTACTGGCTTTTGAAACTGCTTCTATACAACATGTTGATGCTCTTTTCGTGATTTCTTACCATTCTGACTTTAGTTATGATTATTACTCACTGAGTTGGCAGTACTCATTTTACTCCCTACACCTTATGTGTAGATTCAGGTATTTTCTGAGCTTGGTGGCAGTCGTCATTGGAGTTAGCAAGGTAGTTGCCTGGCGATCGCGGCTCTGCTTTCTCCCTCTTTATTCCTCCTTATGTATTATTGCGATTTTTCCGACCATTTCAGTCTTGATGTGACTAGACAATTGTAGTAGATGCTCATGACTAGTGACACCCCGGTATCGGGCTGTGCTGGGTTGTATTCCGCGAATTGTTTTGTATTATCATCGTTATTTCTGAGATTATATCATGTTTTAGATGTAATGCTTATTGTTTAATTGCTTAAAAACTGGATTGGAAATGTGTCGGCTGGCCTTGTTTTCACGAGAGGCGCCATCACGACCAGGTCTGGGTTTAGGGTCGTGACATAGCGGCATGAAAAATTTGATCAAGTATTGATTAATGATGGTTTTTCATCACTTGAATTAGATAAATGTGTCAATACGAAATGTGTAGATGGTACGTGTGTTATTATTTGCATTTTATGTGGATGACATGCTTATTTTTAGTTCTAGTTTTGATTTGGTACATAAAATCAAAATTTTCTTGTCTTCTAATTTTGAGATGAAAGACATGGGAGAAACTAGTGTTATTTTAGGCATGAAAATTATAAGAGATGGCAATAGTTTGATGTTGACACAAGAACATTATGTTGAAACAATTCTTAAAAAATTTGATTGTTTTGATGTGGTACCTGTAAGCATTCCTTATGATGCTAGTAGTCAATTAAAAAAGAATAGGGGAGATGTTGTAGATCAAAATGAATATGCTCAAGCTATTGGTAGTCTAATGCATTTGATGAATTTTACTATACCTGATATTGCATATGTTGTGTGTAGATTGAGTAGATATACTCAAAACCCGAGTCATGATCATTGGAATACATTAGTAAGAGTAATGAAATATTTGAGAGGTATCATGAACTATGGTATTAAATATAGTGAATTTTCCACTGTACTAGAAGGATACAATGATGCTAACTAGATCTCTGATTCAGATGAGACAAAATCCACTAGTGGTTATATGTTCACCCTTGGCGGGGGTATTGTGGCATGTAAATCAACTAAACAAACAATAATAGCTAGACGTACCATGGAATCTGAGTTTGTGGTATTGGAATTGGCTGGCAATGAGGCCGAGTGGTTAAAGAACCTTTTGGCAAGTATTCCACTAGGAATAAAACCGACACCTTCTGTGTCGATGCAATGTGATTGCCAAGCTGCAATAGCTATTGCTAAAAATAAATCTTTTAATGGAAATAGTAGACATATCCGATTGAGACATAATGTGATAAAGCAGCTGCTGAAAGATGGAATTATTTCCATAGATTATGTGAAGTCAGAAGTGAATATGGCCGATCCTCTAACTAAACCTTTGGGAAGAAAATTAATATCTGAAACATCGAGGGGAATGGGACTATTGCCAATTTGAGTTATATCAACAATGATGGTAACCTAACCTATGTGATTGAGTAGGTTCATATGGGTGATAAAAAGTCATTAGTTGATCATATGTGCACTATTGAATAGTGTCATTTCCTATGGTGTGTGTATACAGTGCAAGACTGCAAGGAATGAGAGGCTGATTTATTAAACTCTTAATCCAATAATTCATAGCCTTTTTGTAGGTGGTGTATTGTGCTATAGAATACACTTGATGGATGGACCTATATCAGTGTGGAGTAGGGCCGCTCCTATGAAATTTATGGCAAAAAAATTCTAGAGCACTCATAAAAACCAGGCGCGCGCATGGCCTATTAGCGCAAAACCGCGTCAAACAACAAAGTGTGTGCGGGTATAATGTGATAGATAAGACACTAAACTTAGGAAAGAATTCCTGGTTCATAGAAGTTTTAAACTTCACCAATTGTTCTGTAAGTTTAATCTTATTTTATCTAGGTCTGGTTCATAGACTAAGAGACACCAGATTCGACGCATTATGCTCATTTGTGAAAACCCAGCAAATTTTTAATATTATTATTTTATTATTTTTTAATATTCTTTTTGAGATATGTGGGGGATTGATAGAAAAATACTTTTAATATCTCAAAAAGAAATATTTCAAAATTATGTCTGGATTCATTTTCTTACAATTATATTAATGAATCATTATTATAGTAATAATCTTAAATATATTTGTAACAGAAAATTAGTTTAATTTTGAATTTATTTTGGACAAATTAAATCTGATTATTGAATGCTCATTAGTGAATAATTTGAACATTACTGTTGAAAGAAGAATTGACCATTTGATAGCCTTAATGGCTTTGGATTATAACGTTTTTGTATGCCTGGATTTTAACGTTTTTGGAAGCTTTGAAAAGCCTTTATGGCTTGGACAATTTTCATATCAGAGTGTGCATTTCCTTTGCACTATATATACTTCTTTGGTTTTGCATCGTGTAAAGTGTGTAGAAAAAAGTAAAAGTTTTCCTTCTTATCTTCTTCTATTGTGCTGGGTTTATTTTGATTAATCTTTGTTGTTTCTGTTCCTAGTTATACTATAAGAGCTTGTTGAATTCTGGGGGATACACCTAATTTTATTTATCACGGTGTAGGCGAAATATCCTTAAGGATAGTGTCTTTGACATGCCTCAAGCTAAACCTTTTATTCTCCATAATTATTCAATTTTTCCAACAGTATAAAGGGATAAGGAAATAACTGATATTTCTCATTCAATTCCTAATATAAAGAGATACTCATTTAAAACTTATTTGTATATAATTGGTAAATTGTATATAACCATGTAATTAAGTTAAAACTTAAATAAGGAGGATAATAAAGTTTCATATGTTGTGTAGGAAGGTAAAAATCCCTAAAATATATAGCTGAAAAGAATAGATTTAAAGTGAGAGTTCAAAATATTAATTAAGCACAATTTTATGTTGAAATTATTCTTTACAAACCAAATGATCCTTAAACTATTCTTAGTATATATAATACGTCAAACTCGTAACTCCCCACTATTCTTAGTATATAATATTCATTTTGATAAAAACACTTTTTTGAGAAGAAGACTCTCTCTCTAGCAAAGATACAAACTCTACATTTTTATTAAGATTCCATAATCTATTATTTCATACTTTTCTATCAGATCCAAGAATAGTTCAAATATTCTAGGATTTGTCTGTCATTCATCACTGTCAGAAAGAAGAATCATCCACCTCATTCAATATTGGGTGAATCATTCTCCTTATTTACACAAATACCATTTATTGCTTGATGTTACCTTATTATTGCTCCAATCTTTTGGAATATAAAATGCGCACTGTTTTCAGCTCCCCACCAACATTATCTCACGTTATTTATGCTAACTAGTTCTAGATCTAGAGATATTATCACTAACTAGGTTTAACCCTCTGTTACACAAAATTTAATAGTTTAACCAAAAGTATATATTATTTTTTGGTCAAACAATTTGGCGCCGTCTGTGGGGATTTCCTAGTTAAATTTTTAGTTTCTTCTATACCTATAACTAGCACGGGTTGCTAACAAAAAAAACACAAAGAACAAAATTCTTTTTTCCTTGTACACAAAGATCTGACATGGCAGGTAATGGAGAAGAAAGAATGAGGATAGTGACCGACCTCACCACCAACCTCCTAAATACCATCAATGTGGTTCCTGAGACATAAGGCGAGGGCATAACGTCTAATGCCTCTCCCATATGAGGCGGGCCACCCCTCCCTCACGGCAGTATTGCAACATCCCGCGGTAAAGTAGTTTCCACGTCCACGATGGAAGAGACGCCACCAGCAGTGAAAAAGTTCCTTGAAGCTTGGCCAGCTAACATGCTAACCAGCATCCTCAACAAGCCCGACCAGGAGACAGTCACAGAAAATACAAGGACTTGCGTTACACCGACAACGGTCGAGCAGCATGACCCTTTCCCTCCAATAACAGGTATTACTCACACTATTAATAATGCAGGTGACGACATCCTCACAGCCATTTTGAAAAAAATGGTTTCAAAAAGGGGGAAATGGAAAACGAGAACAAAGTGCTTCGGGACCAAATGAGAGAGCACCAATAAAGGGTCGACAAAATACCGAGTGACCCGAAACTCTTGCCAAAGAGAGATGCTGGTCGGTTTATTGAACAACCATACAGTGATGAAGTCGTCCTGCATGCCATACCACATGCCATACCAAAGACCTTCAAAATGCCGCCCTATGTGACAATATATGATGGTACAACCGATCCCGAAGATCATGGGACTCACTATGTCACCGCTGTAAAAGGCAAAGACCTCGCCAAGGAACAAGTATCCTCCATCTTGTTGAAAAAATTCGGCGAGACCCTCACTGGAGGAGCATTGACTTGGTATTCGCAGCTTCCTGCGCGTTCCATCAAAACATTCGAAGAGATGGCCGACAAGTTCGTAACGGCCCATGCTGGGTCCAAAATGGCAGAGGCGAGAGTGAACGATATATTCGCTATCAAACAATCACCCGCAGAGGTATTGAGGGACTTCCTCGCTCGATTCAACCAAGTAAGTATGACCTTACCAAATGCATCAGAAGGAATGGCCGTAGTAACTTTCCAGAATGGGCTGAGCAGGAATGGTTCGAGGGAGACGAGGAAGTTATTAAGCCGACTCATGAAATATCCCCCAACCACTTGGGATGAAATACATAACGCATATCGTGCCGAGATCCGAGCATACGAGGATGATCTGAATGGGTCAACCCATCGATTGACCTCGGTACAAGCCGAATTCAGGAAAGATCGAAGAAATGATATTAGGAGGGACCTCGTAGCTCTATGGCTCAATCGACAATGGCATCATCCATATGTCAAAAGCGCCATCGCGCCACCCTCCCGCCACGAAGAGGGCCTTCCTAGATCAAAGACAGGGACTCATCGGAACAAGAGATGTATGCCCCATTTGCTATCCGCTCACAATTTTGTGTCACCTCCAGAAATAGTCTACGCATTGGAGAAGCTCGGACCAAAAGTAAAGTGGCAACGAAAGATGAGGTCGGATCTGAGCACCAGAAAGTCAGACGCCCTCTACGAGTTCCACCAAGAGCGAGGTCACAAAGCTGAGGACTGCATCACCCTAAGGCAGGAGGTCGTAAATATGCTTCGCCAAGGACACCTCAAAGAATTGTTGAGCGACCGGGAGAGGACCAACTTTGCCCGAGGACGTGAACAGTATCAGGGACCGCCGAAACTGCCTCACCAACCTGCACCATTCAAATGATCATCGGGGGTGGTGACGAGGCTTATATCAACAACGTAAAGTTCACCACGACCCATAAGCGCAAACGGTCGATCACTTACGAACGGTATGACGGACTCGAAGAAAGTATCATCTTAAATAAATCAGATACCCACGGTTTGGTTTTGCCTCATTATGATGCCCTTATTATCATTTTACGAATATTAGATACAGATATGAGATGCATTATGGTGGACGATGGAAGCGGCGCATGTATTATCCACCCTCGAGTACTTGCACAAATGAAACTCGAGGATAAGATAGTGCCGCGTAGCATCACGCTAACAGGTTTTAACAATGCAGTTGAACGAACATCTGGAGAAATCACACTCCCTTTCCTGGCCGGCGGCGTCACTCTGGATACCACATTCCATATCATGGACCAGGACATGGTGTACCATGCCATGATAGGCCGACCCTGGATACACGCCATGAGGGTCATCCCCTCCAGCTTGTACCAAGTTATCAAATTTCCAACCTCATGGAGAATATTCAGCACATGAGGAGAACAACACACATCTCGAGAATGCTACCGCATCGACCTGGATTATACGACCAGCCAACAAATGAAGGGCAAAGCAAAAGAGGCATAGCAATTAACAGGGCCGAGGTTGAGCTGCGACTAAAGAGAAGACGTCATCAGAGATACCGAAATAGTAGAAGCCGCAGGATCAACCATAGAAGACCTCGACCCCGTTCAACTTGATGACAACGACCACAGCAAGAAAGCTTACATCGGCTGCAAGTTTCAAGAACCAGGTAAATTCCGTCAACTCTTACTGCTAACGCGGACTTGTTTGCTTTTAGCCATGCAGATATGCCAGGTACACAAGTTGAACGTCGACCCATTCCACCCCCCGGTGAGGCATGTTAGGTGGAAGTTCTATACCTCAATAAACGATGCAGTGCACGAGGAGGTCGAAAAATTACTGTAAAATGGCTCCATCAGGGAGTCAAAATACCCCCAATGGGTCGCCAATATGGTCATGGGGAAAAAGAAAAATGGAAGTGGCTAATGTGTGTAGATTTTACAGATTTAAATAAAGCATGCCCCAAAGATTAATTCCCATTACCTTATATCGACTAGCTCATTGATGCAACGGTCGGGCATGAACTGCTAAGTTTTTTAGACGCCTACTCAAGCTACAATCAGATCCTCATGGAAGAAGAGGATCAGGAGAAAACCACCTTCATCACCCATCAAGAAACGTACTGCTACAGAGTTATGCCTTTCGGACTGAAAAACGCAGGGGCGACATACCGAAGGTTGGTGACCAAAATGTTCAAAGATCAACTCGGCAAGACCATGGCAGTCTACATAGACGACATGCTGGTCAAGTCCAAAAGGAGAGAAGACCACATCGACCACTTGAAAGAAGCCTTCGACATACTTAGAAGCTACAGAATGAAAATAAACCCCAAAAAGTGTGCATTCGGCATGACCTCGGGAAAATTCTTGGGTTTCCTAGTGTCACAGCGAGGCATCGAGGTCTACCCTGACCAAATAAAAGCCATGGAAGGAATACCAGAGCACTTAACCACCAAAAAACAGGTTCAGAGACTGACTGGCCGTATCGCTGCCTTGTCAAGATTCATCTCGCGATCATCCGACAGATGCCACAAATTTTTCGGCGTACTCAAAAAGGATAACATCCTCCAGTGGACCTCCGAGTACGACCAAGCCCTGAAGGAGCTAAATGCTTACTTGTCATCACCATCGCTGCTTTCCAAATTGGAACCTGGGAACGCCTCCTTGTCTACCTCGTTGTATCCGAAATAGCGGTAAGTGCAGTCCTGGTCCGATAAGATAAATGTACGCAATCTCCCATCTACTACATTAGCAAAACATTAGTCAACGCCGAGGCGAGGTACCCCCACCTCGAAAAATTATCCCTGGCCTTGGTCGTTGCTTCACGAAAGCTTAGACCCTACTTCCAGTGCCACCCCATCTCGGTAGTCACAACTTTTCCCTTGAGAAGTATTTTGCATAAACCCGAGCTATCGGGCTAGTTAGCCAAGTGGGCCATAGAATTAAGCGAACATGATATCACATATTAACCGCGAATGGCGATAAAGTCACAAGTTCTTGCCGACTTCGTCGCCAACTTCAGTGCAAAAATAATTCCCGAAGTCGAAAAAGAAGCCGCCCACGCTTCTCCCCAAACACAAAACCTATGGATTTTGTACACCGACAGCGCTTCTAACACGTCAAGGTCCGGACTGGGACTCGTACTCGAAGTCCCAACATGCGAAGTGATTTGCTAGTCCATAAGGTGCCCGGACATGACTAACAACGAGGCCGAGTATGAGGCCGTGATTGCAGGGTTAAGGCTAGCACTCAACTACGAGGCGAGACGGGTCAGACTACACTGCAATTCTCAACTCGTCGTCAACCAAGTCACAGGGACTTTCCAGATCAAAGCAAAGGTTACAAAAATACCAGGCCGAGATCTGTAAAATGCTACCCGAGTTTGATGAATATCAACTCTACCATATTCCTCGAGCACAAAATATCGAAGCATACGGCCTCGCCAAATTAGCAGCAGCCACCAAAAACATAACCGGAGAAAAAGACGTGGTCACCCTCCTACACTCATCGATAGATCAAATCGAGGTAAAGACCATAATCAAACTTGGGACTGGCGCAATCGTATTGATACATACTTGCTGGATGGCCTACTCCCAGATGATAAAAAGGAAGCTAAGAAGCTTCGGATGCAAGCATCTAGGTACGACATCATTCATAACGACCTATACAAGAGGACGTATGGCGGCCCCCTGGCGAAATGCTTAGGCCCGAATCAGATGCGGTGCGTCCTTGAAGAAGTCCACGAAGGCCACTGCGGAGCTCATTCCGATCGATCTCTGCTCAGATGTCTCATACGGGCAGGTTACTACTGGCCCACCATGAAAAAAGAGACCGTAGACTTCGTGAAAAAATGCGAGCAATGCCAAAAATACGCCACAATGATCCACCAAGCGGGCGAGCACCTCCACTCAGTCACTTCGCCTTGGCCGTTCATTAAGTGGGGAATGGACATCGTCGGCCCCCTCCCCGCCGGGCGAGGTAATGTACGATTTCTTTTGGTTTTAACCGACTATTTTTCTAAATGGGTAGAAGCGGGAGCATTCGCCTAGATATGCGAACAGAAAGTTATTGTCTTTATATGGAAAAACATCGTGTGCCGCTTCGGCCTTCCCAAAGAGATCAGTTGCGACAACAGACCCCAATTTACATGGAAAAAAGGTCGTTAAATTTTTTGAGAAGCAGCACATCAAAAGAATACTCTCAATACATATCACCCCGCGGGCAACGGGCAAGCAGAATCCTCCAATAAATCAATATTGAACATCATGAAGAAAAAGCTTGAGGACGCCAAGGGACTATGGCCGGAGTTATTACCTGAAGTGCTTTGGGCCTACCAAAAACACCGAAGATGAGCACAGGAGAAACGCCCTACTCATTAGTTTATGGGACTGATGCGGTAATACCAGTCGAAGTCAGAGAGCCCAGTTTGAGATATTCCCATAAGAGCGGGCCGAGGAACGATGAAAGTAGAAGGCAAGAGCTCGACGAAGCCGAAGAACGGATTGATATGGCCCACATAAGAATGATCGCCCAAAAACAACAAGCAGAATGCTATTATAACAAAAAGGCAAAGATCATACCTCTCAAAGTCGGGGACTACATGCTCAAAGCTAAAACACAAGAAAGCAAAGACCCGCGGGAAGGCAAACTGGGAACAAATTGCGACGGTCCATACAAAATCACGGCAACAGCAAATAAAGGGTCATTCCAACTAGAAACAATCTAAGAAAAACTACTACCAAAAAACTGGAATATCACCCACCTCAAGTACTTCAACTTTTTAGAAAAAGCGTTCTCCAAGTCGTACTCTTCTCCCCCCCCCCCCCTTTAGTTTTGTCCTAATTGGGTTTTCTCAAGGAGATTTTTAACGAGGTGACAAGGGGGACACTTCAAGTTGAAGTGCGAAGGGAAGAAGGTATAGGACGGTCAGTTCATTGCCCAACTTTTCAATACTTTTTCAGGTCGACCAATGAAGGGACTAGATAGACTGGGACTGGAATGCCAGCCCGGAAAATATGTAAATTTCTCCAAGTATATGAACAAAAAACACAAATGCATGAAGTTCGCCCATATTTTCACCAAAGCAACGTTGCCTCAATACCTATGCAGCCCTCGACCATAATTAACTAAGTTACATTCGACCTCGTTCGAATTAACTAAGTATAGGTTACATTCGACCTCGTTCGAATTAACACCTACTCGGCCTTCGGCCGTAATTAAATAAAAGTTACATTGAATTAACTAAGTTACATTCGACCTTGTTCGAATTAACTAAGTATAGGTTATATTCGAGCTCGTTCGAATTAACACCTACTCGGACCTCGACTGCAATTAAATAAAATTTACATTCCACCTCTTTCGAATTAACTAAGTTACATTCGACCTCGTTCGAATTAACTAAGCATAGGTTATATTCAACCTCTTTTGAATTAACACCTACTCGGCCCTCGGCCGTAATTAAATAAAAGTTACATTCGACCTTGTTCGAATTAACTAAGTTACATTCGACCTCATTCGAATTAACTAAGTATAGGTTATATTCGACCTCGTTCGAATTAACACCTACTCGGCACTCGGCCGCAATTAAATAAAAGTTACATTCGACCTCGCTCGAATTAACTAAGTTACATTCGACCTCGTTCGAATTAACTAAGTTACATTCGTCCTCGTTCGAATTAACTAAGTACAGGTTATATTCGACCTCGTTCGAATTAACACCTACTCGGCACCCGGCCGTAATTAAATAAAAGTTACATTCGACCTCGTTCGAATTAACTAAGTTACATTCGACCTCGTTTCGAATTAACTATGTATAGGTTACATCCGACCTCATTCGAGTTAACACCTACTGGCCCTTGACCATGATCAAAACTGAGTTCTGTTTCGACCTCAT